ATGCTATGCAATTTCAAATTATACAGTGAAACTTCCAAATAAGTGAAAAATTTTAATATACTTTTTTATTTGCGAGTTAGGTTAGAGAAAAAGAAGATTCGTAATAAAACACTACACTGTCGAAAATGTAATAAACGCTCTCTCATTTCACAAAAATTTAGGTTATTGAGGTGATTTTTTTTTGTAGTAGGGTTAACTTTCACATTGGGTTAACTTTAGACTGTGAAGACAAAAATGGGTGGGATTTTACCAGGAATTTTATGATGAAAGTTTTACCCGTAAAACGGGTCGATTCATTTGGTTCAAAATTAAGTAGGCAAACAGACTCAATTGTAGTTAATCTTACATAAATTGAGCCTGTTTGCCACCTCCATTTTGAACCAAACGTATTGACCCGTTTTAAGATTTCAAGGGTAACACTTCAATTTGAAATTTTGCAAAATATATTGAGCCATGAAAGTCAGGTAAAATTTCGCACAATTTTGTCCTCACATTTTTTAGTCCAAAGTTAACCGAACTTCCGAGAAATGAGTTTGAAGTTGTTTTAGTTTTATCCGGTTATTTTATATCAGTACTATAGAAGCTTGTTCAGCTCAAGCTGTAGTGAAAATTCAATGACCCACAATAGGATGCGTGAGCAAAAACAATTCAATTTGATTAAATATATAAGCACAATTCGGCGAATTTTTGCTGACTACTACAAAAAAATTACTTCAATAACTCAACTCTTAGTGAAATGCGAGAGGGTTCATAAAAAACGTGTTTTGAAAACACCCAGCAGAGCAGCCATAACGCAAGGATCTACCTTAGCAGCAAATATCAAACTATTTAAGGTGAGTTGTTTTTTTTTCGGAAAAGTAAGATGATTCTTTGATTTAGAAATTTCAAATTTGTATACTGTTTCCTAAGGTATTCCAATCAATTGAAGCAACACGATATTTCATAAATTGATCTCCTAGAAATAAGCGCATAATTTGATAAAATAATCATAGAAAATGATAGGAAAGAGGCTAAATGATAGCAGTCATATTTGGTAGCAGTCATAATTGGCTAGCAGTCATATTTCCAGGCAAGATTCGCAACCCCTGAGAGTATCCTGAAATCACACAACTACAGGGTAAGGCATTTCAAATTTTGAAAACGAAATAGTTTAAGTTTTTTGAAATTTTTTTGAAAAAAATCACAAAAAACGTCATATCTCAAAAATTAAAAAAATTTGAGCAGTCATAACTGGAGGCAAGGTTCGCAACTCCTGGGAGTACCAAGAAAAAACCCAACTTCCGGGTAAAGATTTTCAAATTTGAAAAAATAATCATTTAGGTTTTTGAAAAAATCACAAAAAAGTCATATCTCGAAAACTACAAAGATTTGAGCAGTCATTACTAGAGGCAATGTTCGCAAGATTCGCAACTCCTGAGTGAACCATGATATCACACAACTACAGGGTAAGGCATTTCAAATTTTGAAATTAAAATAATTTAAGTTTTTTGAAAAAATCACAAAAAACGTCATTTCTCGAAAACTACAAAAATTTGAGCAGTCATAACTGGAGGCAAGGTTCGCAACCCCTGAAAGTACTCTGATAGCCTCCAATTACAAGGTTGGGAATTTCAAATTTTGTTAAGTTTTGAAATTTTTTTAAAAAATCACAAAAAAAACGTCATATCTCGAAAATTACAAGGATTTGAGCAGTCAAATTTGGAGGCCAGATTCGCAACTCCTGAGAGTACCCTGACAGCACACAACTATAGGGTAAAAAATTTCAAATATTGAAAACAAAAATTATTTCTTTTATTGAAATTTTTTTTGAAAAAATCACAAAAAACGTCATATCTCGAAAACTACAAAGATTTGAGCAGTCATATTTGGAGGCAAGATTCGCAACTCATGAGAGTACCCTGACTGCACCCAACTAAAGGGTAAGGTATTTTAAATTTTGAAAACAAAAATTACGTCAAGTTTTTTGAAAATTTAAGTTTTAATTTAGAAACAAAAAGATATTAAAAAAAATTGAAAAAAGATCGATAAGAAGGATTGAAAAATAAATCGAAAAAGGGTTGAAGAAATTTAAGAAAAAGGAGAATCGAAAAAAATATAAAAAACAGAAAAGAAGATCGAAAAGAAGGATAGAAAAAGAAGGATCGAAAAAAGACAGAATAAAAACATCGAATAGATTGAAAAAAAAGATCGAAAAAGAAGGATTGAAAAAAAAGACTGAAAAAAAGATCGAAAAGAAGGATCAAAAAAAAGATAGGAAAAAAGGAGAAAAAAAATCGAAAAAGAAAGATGAAAAAAAAACGAAAAAGAAGGATCGAAAAAGAAGGATTGAAAAAAGATAGAAAAAAAATAAAAAAGAAAGATAGAAAAAAAGATCGAAAAAAAGATCAAATAAGAAGGATCGAAAAAAAATAGAAAAACAAGATAGAAGAAAAAGATCGATAAAGATAATCAATCATCATCAAACATAATCAAATTAAATGAAAAAGCAGGTATACAGACAAAACAGACAGACTTAATTTGGCCTCGAAAAAAAATACTGAAAAATTATTGACCTTGCGGAAAACTAATTGAAAAATTTTCTTAAGCATTGCAATATATGATATAGCTTAAACATGAAAAAACTCTTCCGTTAAACATGCAAAATTATTATGCTTAAACATGGGAGATAGCTGTCACTCGCATTTAAATATATTATAGATAGATATAGATAGATAGATAGATATAGATAGATAGATAGATAGATAGATAGATAGATAGATAGATATAGATATAGATATAGATATAGATATAGATAGATATAGATAGATATAGATAGATAGATATAGAAGACAACTTGCCATAGCAAACTTACTGTTAAAGTCAATAAAAATACGAATAGCTAAAACAATTAATTTAGCTTTGTTACAATCATCTTTTCCATCAAGTTTCCAGCTGTCTAAAGTTAAACTTTTAATGCTGATAAGAAAAATATCTACAAAATAGTAAAATACGACTAAGTGTAACTTAAAATCTTATATAACCAATTGGGTTTATAACTGTAGAGTTGACGCTAGTCGGTTCATGTTTCACAGGCTGCGCACCGTTTAACTGCCTCCTCGGCTCAACCACAAAAGATGTCGAGGAATTTTGAGCTCTGATACGACTGGGGTCTTGTATTTGCGGGCGAGGAAAATGAGGGTTTTGAATTTGAGAATTGAGAACTTGAGGATTCTGTATCGACTGAAAATTGATCTGAGGTTGTTTAATAGAAGCAACTAAGTTCAATTTTTCTTCTGAAAACCCATTCGAACCAGATATTTCCAAAGAATCATCATTTTTGTCCTTATGTATTGTTTTCACGTGTCGTTTGGCTGAAGTTTTGTGGTTCGAGTTGAAACTGCAAAGTCTGCATAAAAACAGCATCTTTTCGCCAATGTTTTTCGCGTCTACTCCTTCTACACTTGCGTGAGTAGTACTAATATGTCTATGGGTACTCGACTTATGAGCTGAAATGAAAGGACAATGGGGACACAGGAATGAATACTGGATCAAAATATCTGGATCAGTGCGATCTCTGGTCACTTTCTTTCCATTTAAGGCAACTTTGACTGGCCTCGTCAAGGCTTTTGTCTTCAATTTATTCACCTTGCTCGCTATAAGATCGTTTCCAGTTTTAATCGTCGGTCTGTTTTCAGAATGAAACTGAGGGTGATTAAGTTCAATCTTTTGATTGTAACTTGGTTGTTCCTGTTTTAATACAGAAGAATTGCTTTTTAAATGAGACTGTGAACTTTCTTGACCCATGAACTCGTCCAGTCCAAACATGTGAACAAAGTCAACATCGCCGTAGGTATCGTCACTTCGAGTGCAGAGACCCGGCTCCTGCTTGATTCTAGCCATTTTAACATAGGTTAACTATCTGAAACTCAGAAATAAACCGAATGATACAAGCGTTCATCTTTTGTGTACATGAAACATAGCCAACAGACAGCTGGAAAGGTGTCATTGAATTCACGGAAGCCGAAATGAAATATTAAGTTTTTTGAACGTTTTTCAACTTTCTTATTCCGGAAAAAATATATCATGTTGAAGCTATTTTGAACATTTTATGACTGACACTTTTCCTCGAACTTCGAAATTTAAAATCTTCACATTTTTCCCGCCAATAGCACTTTCGTTATGGGAGAGCCTAATTGACTTCCGGTTAACAAACAAATTTGAAATTCAAATCTAAAAGAAGTCAAATATCAAACCGCAATAGTGACCAAAAATTTTCTGAAAAAGTAACATGACCTAAAATAAATTTCCTCACAACTTGCATTCACATTTAAACATGACACATAGATTTTTCAGCTCTAATAAACTCAAAGAAAAATGAAACTTTTTTGCTTTTCCTCTTGTCAAGTTCATTCAGTTTCAAGACCTTTCTGATTGAAGGTTTTTGTTGAATTTGAACTGAACATTCAATTAAATAAAAAACCAAACCCCGAAAAATCGAATTTCAGTGTTAACAGCTTTTTATTTCAGTGTTAACAGACAATTGTAATAAACCGTTACTGGCAATTATTGATTGAGTGTTAAGTGTTGCTTTGTATTCTAGAGTGATGAAGTTTGAAGTATGTATGTTGGATGTGCGGTCTAGGCTTTTGAATCCTCAACTCAGGGACGCGCTTTGTGATGGCTACCCTCTTCTTTCTTAGATTGAATAAAGTGAGTTTTGAAAGTTCAATTGTTTAGAGCTACTGAGTATTACTGGCTCTCTTTTGTCTCTGATCTAATGATCTCCTTATTATTTACTTTGAGCAAATATACTTTAGCATTTCGTCATTGGCATAGTATGAGTTTACAATTTAATCTATTAAGCGTCTAATTCGCTCCTATTAATGTAAGTTAGCGAGAGTAATTAACATAGGTGTTTAGCACTATGTTACATAACTACACTTAATGATTCTTCCCTGGCGGCTATAATTGTGGGAAGGCACAAGTGGTTACATGGATATATCAATAACTTAACTGTGCACTTTAATAAGTTTACTGCGGTTATTAGATTAAATTTATTGCTTTCAAATTTTCAAAACAATAATGCTTTGAACGTTTCTTAAATTTTAAGTGGTGATAGCACCATCACACTATAATTTATTTTAGATTAAATAGATTAGATTTGCAACTAAATTAAAGCGGAACATAAATATACACAAAGGGTTGTCCCAGTATCTAAGATACAATTAGACTCTCTTATTAGAGAGAGGCAAAGTTATACGTTTAATGGAAGCCACTCGGTCAGTCATAATGATGATTTGTGAGGGTGAATTTTTTGAGTGCCAGTAACTGTTCAAATTTGGCTGAAGCTCTCCTCTTTAGTGTCGTTCAGGTCAACCTGTGAGTCCTGTCTTCTGCTGACATTCCCCATAGAGGAGCAGGCTGAAGTCAGTTGTGATCTGTCGGCTGGTGATGTATGAGCATTCAATTCTGTTTGTGTCACTACCATGTATTTTTCACGGAGCTTGGTCCCCTGCTTTTGGAATTAATTCTTTGCGGTCAGATGCTGCTACTGAGAGCACCGGTCGAAGTGCGATGTTTCCGTCCTGTCCTTTTAGAAACTTCGGAGTCAATCTTCGGAAGATGGCAAATCGGTGGTGGATATACATAATGAGTGCGTGTAATACCTGATTTCCTAAGAAGACTACTGCTGTCAGTGTAAGAGAAAGACGTAATGGTACATACTGCTCCATTTTGTCCACAAGGCTAGGCTTTAGTAGTCGCATATTGTGTGCAATAGGTTTTGCAATTTCGTTCAGCTGATCGACTTTTGTCAGATGTGGACTTTCGATGAGTTTCGCTTTAACTTCTGAGTAATTTCACTCCGGCGTCGGTTTTGGATTCGTAGTATGGGAGGTCTGATAAGTCTGGTAGTTCTGAAATCAAATGTGCTAACGGGTCCGGTAGAGTTATGCTGATCCGTTTTGCAGGGATTTTTTTGCAGCTATCTAAATCAGGTTCAATTTTTATATATTTGCTTATTAGCTGTGTCCCACAGTCCAAGGTTATTAAGCAAATATTGCAGCCAGGGTGGTCTTCTCTTTTGGGCGTGTTCAGTTCATCGAGACTGTACTCCCGTAAAGAGAACGCAGCACTGGCTGAGGTGACTAGCCGAATTCCATATCCAAGGTTGGTCGCTTTCTCAGGCGTTGGGAGAAGAAGTTTTTCGGTCTCACATACCGTCAGTGCTGTCATTGTGGAGTTGAAATACAGCGTTGCCAGGCATGATGATTGTCCTAAGTGTGTCTCATTTCCATTGTTTGATGATAGATCCGGTACGTCGAAGTTCCCAAGCAGTTGGCGTACTGGTCTTCTGTCAGGACAATTGTCTCTATGGAGTCCTCCGATATGGCCGGATAGGGTCCTTCTATGACCCATTTTATGGCTTCGGTTGGATCAACTTGAGGCATAGGTATCACCTGGGCCCGGTACATCTGGAAAGCTGTTTGATTCGATGCGTACGGTATTGCCAGATTGAGCAGAAGTCCTTCCTCAATTGTTGTGACGTCGCGAAGCAGCTTTGCGTCATAATATGAGGGGATATCGCTTGGCGGTATCGCAAGGGTCAATCGGTGGTTTTCCTCCTTTTGGCTTTTGTACACGGCGTCTATGACCGCCAAAAGGGACTTTCGCGGAACAAGAGACATCGAGAGTCGTTGGTCCAGCAGAGTTGGTATCGAGTTTAAGACGTTTGTCTTAAAGGCATAGAGTGCGGTTTTATAGCTTGTTATATCTGCATAGACAACGTTTAGTAGTGATGCTGCTGTGTCGAAGTTGAAATTGAAATGTTGTTTTGAGAACAATGTTTGTGTGCAATTCCGCAAGATATGGAAATTTCCTTGAATTGTTGCAAATTGTTTTTCGAGGATTTTCCAGTTCCAATTTTGGTTTTCGATTGTTTGTTGTTGAATTGCTCTGATTTCAGACAACTCATTCGAAATCGCAAAGAACTTCTCGTTGCTCGATGTTTCAATTTCTGATACATAGTCCGTAAGGGCCATTGAGTACTGTTCCAAAGTCTCGATGTTGTTTGCATTTGCTTGTGCCTGGTACTGGCATGATCCAAAAATTCCCATAGTTCCACATCCTCTTGAATTGCTCATCATTATTCCGGAGCCGAATAGACCAATTCCGGCGATGGCCGCTGCTGCTTAAACATGGGCAACAGGTTGTTTTTTCGAGAACTCGCGAAGTTGAAGTCTCCTTGTTGACCGACTTCGTGCCTGTTCATCATTGGTGATGTGATGATCAATGAGCCCAAAAATTTTGAATTTCCTTCCACTCGTTGTTGGGGGAGGAAAAACTTTTTTATTCATAATGCTTAAACATGGGCAACAGGTTGTTTTTTCGAGATCTCGCGAACTTGATGTCTCCTAGTGGACCAGCTTCGTGCCTGTTCATCATTGGTGATGTGATGATCAATGAGCCCAAAAAGTTTGAATTTCCTTCCACTCGTTGATGGGGGAGGAAAAACTTTTTTATTCGTAATGCTTAAACATGGGCAACAGGTTGTTTTTTCGAGATATCGCGAAGTTGATGTCTCCTAGTGGACCGACTTCGTGCCTGTTCGTCATTTGTGATGTGGTGATCAATGACAGTGCCGCAAAGCTGTTTAAACATATATGAAGACTTTGATGTCGCTTCTTCGGAAAATGTCGTAGATGATGTTGAAAACTGACTGTTCTTGTAATTTACCGAGACCACATCCTATCTTAGGAAGTGCAATTTGTTTGATCCCTTGTTCAATTAGCTGCTTCTTCATGCATCGGAGGCTGCGTGTAAGGTCATAGATAGACGGTTTTTTGAAATATTGCGATTTTGTCACAAAAATAAATATTGATTTGTTTTGAGAAGGAATGTGCATTGATACTGAGGCTCCGACTTGTGGTGTTCCGATCGACTTTAGCGTAGCCTGTAGTGCTGGGTAGGCATCGCGGATTTGCTGTGCTATTCCTGCACTCATCTGGAAGTCACTCGAGACACAATGTGCGATTGGGCCTGGAAAATGCAACAGATCTCCTGTGCCAAATATGATATTTGGTTCTTGAATAGAATTCATTGAGTCTTTGCTGCTGCCAGCTCCATCGTTTAGCCTCGTTGCCTGTTTTGCGCGTTTAAGGCTGCATTTTATGGTACTCTTCTTTTCATCTCTTGGAGGGAATGATTCATTTGCCTCTTCTGCTTGTAGTCGTATTTTTGCCTGCTTTTCTTTTCGTGTAGATCTTGGGCTAAAGGTAACCGGAGCGACTTCGTGACCATATATTGTTCGCAGACCATATTTTCGAGGGTTCATCTCCCGAGGTGGTATCGGGTGGTATCGTACGTCGTTGCTAAATCCAGTTTGTCCATAAATCTGTCACGTGCTATGGCTGCTGCTTTGCGTCTCGTTCGCGGTCGTTCTTGTACGTGTTGTTCCTCGGCAGTTTTGTCGCATCCTTGAGCTATTTCACCTGGTTCTGCCGCTCCCGCTCCGTCCATGTGATCTTCTCCGGGGGATGCGTCCTGTTTCTCAGGGCGTGGTGGATTGATTGGATCCAGTTCAGTGTCAGGTGGAGATGGCGGTCGTGGTGGTACTATTGGTGCTGGTGGCTCACGTGGTGGTGGTGCTGGTGACAGCACTACGAGTAGCGGTACTGGAAGTGCTACTGGAGGTGGTGGTGCCGGTGATATCGGTGCCATCACTTCTGCAGGGGGTGGTGGTGGCAGCTCTGATGCCAGTGGTCCTCCTATTGGTATAGATAAGCGGATGGTCGTCGAAGCTTCTTGTTGGATTTCGCTGTCATGTTGCGGTTGAACGTCGTCAAGCAGTCTAGGTAAGTAGTCATCAAATAGTCCTGGCTCGCTGCGGGACTTGCTTATTGACGGATCTACCACGAATTGGGCCGTATCGATTGGGTCAATGTCTTCTGGTTGGTGCTGTGGTCGAATCGATCGGAGACGAATTCTATGGACACACTGTGTGTGGTGGGTTCCGACTTTCCTTACTAGGTAATTACTGTTAGTTAGCACCTTTTCCACTCTATACAAGGGAAGCCACACTTGGAGTCACTTATTCCTAGTATCAGACTGATTTGTCAGAAGAGCGTTGAGGAGGAGGCAAAACGAGTGAAGTACTAGCGGTTGGGCTAGTGCTTTCTGGTCGTAGTATCCCCGGTATCTATGGTATGATGACACGTTGTCTTTAGTCTCCTTGAATTTTTCGAGCTTCGCGTCTTGTAGCGCGGTTACAAAGTCTGCGTTAGCCGTAGCGATTTCCAATGCTTTGGTTGAAAATCTGAGATCAAGGGGTTTGGTAGGCTCTCTTCCGTGGAAGATGGTGCTCGGACAACATCCTATTGACGAGTAGTATGACGTATTGTGTATGAAGGTCCCAAGAGGTACATAGCGATGCCCATCTGTCCATTGGGCGTGAGTATTAAGTTTGAGAATCCTTTTGAGTGCCCCATGGGATCTTTCCACCAGTCCTATGGTTTGTGGGTGTTTCAGGGTTGCATGGCCAATTTTGATGTCTAGAAGGCCCGTGAGTTCGCGAATTAACTTAGACGTGAAGACACTTCCCAGGTCCGAGATTATCCTTTTTGGGACATAACTGTGCGTGAAGAACATCCTCGTCAGTTCTCTTGCCACCGCGTCAGCACTTGCGTTCGTCACTGGTGCTGCGAACAAGTATTTGGAAAAAACGTCGATTCCAGTAAGAACAAACTGGTACACTGGAGACTTTAGCGGTCCGACTATATCGATTTGCATCATGTCACCTGAGTATGACTGTAACGAAGAAAATGATTGGAGTGGTGGTGTTTGATGTTTACTTGACGCATTCTTAAGCTGCGGGCACGTTAAACAGTTTTTCACCGTGTTGACCAGAAACTTCGAGAATCCTGGAAAATAGTATCTCCTTCGGAATTCCTCTGTGGTTCGTGTCATTCCGATGTGTCCTCCTGTATACGGTTTCGTTCCACATGTGTTTTGGTACACAGAACTGTTTGTTTGGTTTT